GAGTGGTAAAAAAAGCGAAAGTTTGTGATTTCATTTGGAACAGCAATAATTGATGCATACAGGGTGTTCCAAAAGCAACTATACACTTTTTCGTCGTTTTAACTCTATTCTCAACAAGTCTTTTGCCTATCTTCAGGTACCGTTTCGTAGAGCTGGCTCTAAACTAGATTTATAATATGGGGAAATCAACGATCGCTCATTGTTACCGTAGGATTACGGTAGGAACTTCCAGCATACGTCATTGTGCATAGGCAAAAAAACTTCCAAAAAATCTGAAAAGTTGTGTACCAGTGTGCTCAGAGCTGATTTCATTAGACAACTTTTCACGAGTTTACGAAGCGATTAAAATGATTCAGTCACATTTTTGAATAACGCTAAAAAATGATGTCGCAGTTTCTGGCACAACTTATGAAAAAAGTCTTAGATAGAGTGCGAACCTCATGTTCATAGTCAGCCACTCAGTTTTGGCTAATATAAAGCTTTCAGCTTGTTGAATATTGACTCGGGCAAAATGTATCCATTGATGGCTCAAAACCTTTTTCAAAGTTCTTACCGTAGTCTCATAGTACGAAGAGAGATGCGTAATTCGTTCCCTACTGTGTATCTAACAAGTGAGGGAACTTAGATTACCGTTTTGAGATGAGAGATAAATCTGGAATCAGCTTCGAACGCTGATTCCAAAATATGCTGTCCTTAGCTGCGACGCATTATTCTCAGGCGAGTTATGGGCTCTTTTTCTACACGAATTTGGTATGTTATTCAACATGGGAAAGCTGCCTGTAGATGGAAATCTCCCTTAAAACGGTGCTGGGATACTAATAATATCAGATTAAGTCTTTTGTCATAGACAAGAAACTTCGCAGTAAATCAGCACTTAGATGACGATACCGTAATGCCAGTAGGTCAAAGAAAAATATAGAAAAAATATAGAAAAATATGCTATTTTGCATAAAAGAAAATCGAGAACACGCTCTAAAATGTGCCGCAGCTAGGAACAGCATATTTGAAATCAGCTTTCGAAGCTGACTCCAAATATGCTGTTCCTAGCTGATTCGACACATATAATGTCTCATCGCAAAACGCGAATCTAAGTTACCTGACTCCCCTTGTAAGTTGAAGCTTGCACTGAATGGTATTTCAAGCTAACCATAAAACGAAATGCATGCAAGGTACAGACGCAGAGTCGCTGCGGGACCCTACGATTTTGACTGTGTTAGCATGTGTCTGCCGCATAGCAGAGATTGGAACAGTTCGGAGGAGCCCGCCCAAGGCGTAAGTTTCCCCACTTCCCGATCGTCGCGATGCTGTGTCTGTGGGCCACTTTCGCATGGCACTGAAATCCCAAAACCCCTACCTTGCCCGGACACTGCCTTTGAAGATAAACTGTTCGCTTAGGGGTAAACTGTTCACCTAGTTCCCGAACCCATGCGTAATCTCTATAGTCAAGACCTACATGTTGGAGCATGTTTACACAAAAACTGGACTTAGGCGAACCGTCCACCCAAATCGAGCTCAATGAGATCTTGACGTCTTATAATAGTGGAGCCCCTAACTAAGTCATCGCCCGAGTCTCGCTGGAAAAAGATGAAATCTTCGAAGTGAAAACCGCTCCAAAGGAAGAATCACCACGTTGGCTCCCATCAACGTGAGTGGTCTGAATATAAAAAGCCCAAAATAGGGCTATAATGTATCTAGAGTTGTCATAAATCCTCCCATTATGAGTATCAGTTTTTTGTTTCTATCTACCCTGGAGCCCGATTTTGACCTTCTTATCTTCATACCACCAACTTGATGGGCCAGTGTGGCGTTTCTACCTTCTGAAGCGGTCTAGAATACATCTTTTGCAGCGAGACTTGGGCGATGGCAAAATTAGGGCACTATCTATAATATCTCATTATCCTCAATTTGGGTGGATGGTGCTTTCGAAGGAAGCCTTTTCCAGGTCCTTTTCTTGTGACTGATTCCAAATGTGAAGTTGGGAATCCTGGAAAACTCGACAATTCCCGTTCCAGACCCGCGGGGCGGATTCCCGACACAGCGATTGAATGGGCTAGCAATGGGCGAGCATCGCTATAGGGGGTCTTGCCTTAGGTCTTCTGCTCTCTTCGTTCCGAAGCGATTTTCTCGCTTTCGAAGCGACATTTTGCACTGCGATTTGGGCAGTTCTTGATAGGAGGCCCATAACTTAGGGTGGATGTGCCTTCAAAACCTTGCCCTTATCTGTGTTACAAAACTTGCTTCAGGAATTTCGAACACAACACATAAAAATGCACTAAGCCCTTAGACCGTTATTATAAGTCGTAAGAAGTGATTTCTTTGTTAAATCAGGGCCCGGCATGAGGTGGGCAAATGACATCCTGGAAATCGTTTTGTGTAAAAAGAGCAAAGAGGATATCGTTGCTGGGTCCGGGTCGGAGCCCCGGAAAAAGTTGGCAGTTTATGTCTCCGCGTATCTTAGAAGCCGTGTCCAGGCTAAACCTACCCCCTCCGATTAGTGTCGATCCTGAATGTAGGCCCCAAAAAAGGGGCATCTGCGTCCGGTCTTCTAACGTTGTCTCTGAATAGAGATAAGGGGCCTGGAAGTCTCTGGCTGAGGGAGTCTGATATCAGGCTCCGCCCGGCCAGGGACTGCCTTCCGACACGTGTTGACGTGGCAGTGAACAGAAGCTGCGCACTGCTGCAACTGCACCCATGTAGTTGCAGCTCCTCCCCGCTGGCCTGCCGACGGGGACGAGCGATTCGAAACCCGCGCCCTCAAGAGAGGGTCTCCAGGAATCGGTTTTTTTGTGAATTTTGGAGAGTTTGAAGTTCGTATCTTTAATCAGGGTCACGGAAAGGCCCAGAATGACGAAAACATGGGGGGCCAAATTCTGGATGGACGCTGCCTTTAACATGTTATGTGCCCAAGCGCGAGAGGCTAGTGGAAACAAAGTATAAGAAATTATGAAAAACTTACGTGAATGGAAGGAGTAGGCAATAGGCATTTTTTACGAAAATTTCGCATAACTGGTAAGTGAAAGTGTAAGTTCAATTTGCAACGCACATATGACGATATGGTAGAAAACTTGTTACGTACATGAACACGGGCATGCAGGGGTTAACTAAACAGGAAACGATAATTGGTGACCTGGGCCATGTGGAATGCGATGTATACCATAAGATGCATCTCAAAACGCTGATTCTAAATCTGTGCTCGAAATCTGCGATACGATCATTTGAAGACAGTTATGAACCTTTTTTCGTAGAAAATTTGCGTACTTTTAGGTAGTTAAAATCATCCAATTTGATCTATTTTACCGTTTGAATCTATTGAGGAGATCTTGAAAGGTGTAGCGTTGTATTTATACCTATCTAAACAATATTCAGCATTTGAAGAGGAAAGAAGAATTTTTATTAAAGATTTTCACCCTTCGCCGTAGCGCATCATTTTTGAAAAAATAATCATAACTCAATCCAGGTTCTCGTTTCGCAGATATGGAAAAAAGCATGAACCAGCATTAAAAGGCGCATTTTTTGATATACAATTTATTATGAATGGAAGGGGTAACCAAGTATCGTTCCCTGCTAAGAAGTTTCATTGAAAAATTATGTGACTGAGGGCTGTGGCAGGCTTTTTTTTGATAATTTCGCTATTGAAAAATATAGGGTGTCCCAAAAGATGTGAGCACTGTTTGATCGTTGATAGCTCTCCTCCTTTCACGTCTTTTGCCGAGCTTGACGCACCATTCTGTAGAGCGTGTTAAACTTAGATTTTCAATATGGAGCGAATCACCAATCACTCTTCGTTACTGCAGATTTACGGTATGAACTTTCAGCATACAACGCCAGTGTGGAGTAGGCCTTTTGATGAAAAAATTCCAAAAAATTTAGAAATTTGTGCAACAAGGTTTTCAGGCGTGCTAATTTCACTACCCAACTTTTCACCAGTTTTTGAGCTCTTTTAATGGTATAATCACACTTCTGATAGCCATTGGAAGAACGGATGTTACCCCAAACCTGAAATAGAAGCATTTTAGCGACTTCAGTTAGTCTAGTACAAGAGTTTCTGGTTTATTTTGATTTTGCTAGGCAAAGATTGCTTTCATTAATCTGAAATCCTTCTCGAAATCCTACCGTAATCCTACAGTAACGAAGAAAGATCGAAGATTTGCTCTGTACTATAAGTCTAACAAGGGGAGGAAGGTTGAAGTGGCATTTTGAGATGTGATATATACTATCTTGTAGAGCTTGGAACGCTGATTCCAAATCTAGCTTTGCTATCTGCTGCGGGCTTCTGGGCAAGGAGTTATGAAGGTTTATGTGAGTAAAAATCTGAATGCAAGAGTAGATTAAAATCAGTCTTGCCCTTTTCCGGCCCGATTACCAGTTAAGTTACCAGTTGAACCTCGCTCTACAGATTGGTGCCTTAAGCTCTATGATAGACTTTCAAGATAGTTATTGTCGATCAAAAAGTGTGCACATCTTTTTGGGACACCCTGTAGAAAAATGGCTCGTTTGCAACGCAGAGATGACGAAATCGCGCGAGATTGGTGTGAATACGCGCAGTAGGACTAAGGAACAAAGTATGAAAAGTTATGAAAAACTTATGCGAATGAAGAACTTGCCCAACTTTTTTCCAAATTAAGTGGGGAATTGCCCACTTAATGCCCACGTGAGGTAGACAATACTTCCATTTTACATAATTTTATTCATAAATCTGGTCTATCCCTGAAATTTAATATGGTAACATTTTGGTTCCAAAACTCCTGGTCTCTTACTTGTTAAGGCTCGAAATAGTAACGACGTTGGTGCTTTGGAGGAAGAAAGGGCGCTCCAATTGAACAACCTATGCTGCTGGCGGGATCAAGTGGGTATTCGCGAAAATCGATAGCAAGAAGGCGAATTCGTTTCACCGTTGCTCATTTGCCAGCCTCCTGTGCCATGGTTGAAATGTTAGCGGAAGTCAGTGGCGGTGACAAGCAAGTCAAGGTTTCAGTTTATTTGCCTTTGATCTAGTTTATTTACCTTTTTCGTGCAACTTTGTTGAATACAAATATGGCAGTTAATCCCAGTAAGGTTGCCATATTAATCCCGCATGTAATAAAGCACACTTTTTCAATGCGATCCCTAGTTTGAGCCGTTGCTATTGAACAATATGTCTGCATCCCTTGGAAATCAGCGTTTTCCAGTTGCCAAAACAGGACTCCTATTGGAACAAATATCTAAAGCATTCTTCTCATTCTTTTTCGTATCATTGTAACGCTTCTTAGGGAACTTACACAAAAACCTGCAGAAGCATAGCCGAATGTCGGTCCGTAAAGTCCGTAACTGCGATGCTTCCATAGCGCTAGCATTCTTTCTAGTGAGGACATGAGCTGAATGTAGACAACAATTTGCCTAGTAGTTATTTTTGAAGCTGTTCATGAGAAAGCTCGGATGGAGATTGCAATGAACTCACTTGAAAAAGCGAGAATGACATCGTGCATATGTTCGTAGGGGCGCGTAAATAGATACACAAAGATGAAGAAAGCCCTACTTGGCATGGGTCCGATATCACAACATAGCGTATAAGGTGAACTGCCTATATAAGGTGCGAAAGACAATCTTTGTGGATTGTGGACACGTGGTTTAGTGCTCTGCGTGAAAGTCGGTGAGTTCGCGGCCATTGCTCGCTCATTCAGCTTTCTTATTGTTAGATTTCTTTCTCCTGTCAAACGCTCTTCTGCTATCAGATGTCAGCTTTTAACTAGCTGAAGCAATTTTGAAAAGTACGGGGGTTGTTCAACTGGTTTGAGGCCCGACATCTTGCGTGCCCAATGGCCACAATGTCACCGGTCTTCATGATCACGCAGAGCCCTAGAGTCATCCTAAGAATGTCTCAGCTTTGAAAAGGTCTGACTGGATAATCCAGATTTTTGCACTTTCAAATGGACAGCCATTGGCTCTTTCCAGCACTTCCATCATTGGCATACACTTCTCCCTTTCCCGCTACTCAAGGGAGATTTTTGAACAAGAGCCGCGTGCATCAACATCCCCACTGGGGAGTGATTCGCAGCTTAAAAGAAAGCTTCTACTCTGAAGCTTTCGAGTGATTTCATACCGTCTATACACTCTCAAGTGTTCCTACTACCCTTTACTGCTCATGAACGGCAACTAGGAGTTGTCGCGTTTTCCAGCTCTTTGTATTATTATTTGATAATCCCATCGGCCGGCCCTTTTTCGTTCGAAGTCGTTTTTCTTCCTTATAAGTCAATGAAAACATCCCAAAGTGATACCGATTTGTATTTGCTATTGATGCATCACTTGGCTATGAATGCTTTTGAATGTTTCTTCGGCAACCTTGCCAAGAAATCCTATTGCACATAATGCTTCGAATCCTATCTAAGGCCACCATGAGAAAACATATCTGTTCTAGTGCAAGTGCCATTCCACTTATTAAACTTACTTGCAGAGATGCCATGAATACTGAATGGATAATGTAGAGGAACAACATGGCACGTATCAGTATCTGAATCGTAACAGTAAAATACTAAATTGTCACTTTTTTGATATCTAATGTTGTTAAATCTGTATCTTTTATCTTTTATCTTCGCTTAAAGCTGAGGACTGGCTGGTCGCATTTGTTTGGACTTATTTTATCTCGTTTCATTTCTTTTACATTTCTCGTTTCATTTCTTTTACATTCTGGTGCACCTCGAGTGTATTTATAAAATAAAATAAAAAATTCCTTTTTGCGACTACTAGGGCATGTACAGATGTATAATTTCTTGTGGTTTTCTCAAGGTAATATACAGGCACATGTGGGAAAGCACAGATCTGAGTTGGCCATTTCTTGCCCATCATTTTATTCTTAACTATTAAGCATCAAAACAGGCAATATAAATGAATGTCTAATACATTTGATATATGCGCGACCAATGGGAAAATCGTTATGTTGCTTTGGCTAAGCTCCGGTTTCTGAGGTGCAAAGTTTTCTCGATTTAAGCTTTTCTTGCGTAGATAACATTCACCGAATAGTATCACCGTACCCCAATCAATTTGCTTGACGTTCAGCAGCTCGTTTTTATGACACCCTTTATTTCCTTGGCATTGACTCAATCTGCTACTATTGAAGCAGCAAGAAAGAAGCCAAGCTAGGATAAATGTCGTCTCGTAAAGTTTGGCTCAAAAGTTAGACGGCGCCTTATAAACAAGGCACAATTTACCTTGACGTGGGGATTCCTTGAGTAATTGCTGTCTACGCGAGTTCTATCAGGTTGAAACGAAAGTTTTTTCGTATTCCCAACGAAATTCAATAACCTTCCAAATCCTTGACCTAAATTTACTCTTTTACATTCTAGAACAGACAACCGATCCTCAAATGTGACTTACTATGAGCTAGCCACCAAGAACGAAGCTTTCGAAATCGTTGAAAATTTTGCGATTTTAAGTTAGTCAGTAAATTGCAGAGGGCCACTAGCTAGCCCTTAAAAATCTATAAAAATATGTAGCAGCATCTCGTACATCGCTGCAGCAAGCTTCAAACTTATACAAGAAATGCAAGGGCAAGAAATCGCGGAAAATGTCTTTTTACAGGAAAAATCTCCTTATCACTGCACTTTTTCAGTAGAAAATGCGTCTTGCGAACAAAAGCTTCACAGTGTTCGAGGTGCACTAGGTCAAGTTTTTGGCCTGAATCGTGGTTTTGTGGAGAAAGTGGCAGTGATAGGTTTTCTAAAATATTTATTTCAGAAAATATTCCGCCATTATTGTAAAATGACATTTTTCGAAAGAATTTTTTGTTTTTGCATTTCAGCGTCAGGCAAAAGCTTGTGCCTGCCTATGCCCCACAAGAATGAACCTATTCCTAACAATGTGTAAGCAAGCCATAATTTTGAAATGCATGGACATCACACCTTGGATGGAAGGTGTGAAGAAGATTCACTGCTAACATGGTAAAAGCGAAAAGAAAGCAAGTACCCTAAAATCCCGCCAATAAGTCCGGACTTATATGCATTTTTTGACACGAAAAATTGATAAAAAATCGCCCTCTGCGCTGCCAGAAGTCTAGCAGATGAATCCTCCCATCAGACCGCAGCAGATCTGCTAGACTTCTGGCAGCGCAGAGGGCGATTTTTTATCAATTTTTCGTGTCAAAAAATGCGGATAAGTCCGGACTTATTGGCGGGATTTTAGGGGTATTAGGCTAGTATCAGACAGGTATCTCCCATGAATTTACGCGTACGCGAGCGAGATAGCTTCGTTGATAGAAGCTTACTGCTGCATTTGCATCCGCTTCGCAAATCAAACTCCCCGCATCCGTCAGGGATTAGCCTTAATTGGTGATTGGAAAGTAGTAAGACAACCTTTTTTACATTCTTACTTTTTGTTTTGTTCAACATTCCAAGCAGCAACTCAAACGTCACATTTATTGGCGATCTTTGCTCAACATCCTGGCGAAGCGAAGCGCTCCTCTCCCATAACTCTTGGAATGGGGTTCCAAAATGTAACAGAGCTTTGGACATATCTCTCCAAGATGAGTTGCTGCATCGCAAAGTCTGAGCCATTGACATACCCTTCGAAAGAGTTTTTCCACTCCTTCATGTGGTAGAATGTGCGAAGTTTTTGTTCTTCGAGGACAATAAGAGTATGAAATTGTGCTATTTTTAGTGAAGTGCAAGATGGAGGGAAGTTGAAATAAGCTGCACACGAATGGATAGAGCATGAGAAACTCTACCAGATGTTAAGCAGTGCAACATGCAGGAAAATGTACCTAGCATTTTCCACCTGATATTTCACCAGGCTAGATCTCTTTGCCTAAATTTATTATCTAGTTGTCGTGGGTTCAGGCACTCTCCCTCTTCCATTGCAGCTCTAAACTTTGTGTGGCCCTGAGGGTTTTACTCCGAAGGACTCGAAGCTCATAATTATCAGCTTGGCCCTAAGCCTGTTTTCATGCTGTAATAAATGCAGAGAACATCAGTTCGGTATCTGGATACAGAGGAGCCCTATTTAGTGAATAGCGATGAAGATTGTGACGTGCGCTTTGAAAATCTCTCATTAAAAAACCAAATTTCCTCATATCTGCGCTTTTTGCAAAGATTGAGGTTTCTCACTTCTTCGCGGATTTTTTCTTTGGAAGATAAGTTCTACTCAACAAGAATTTATACTCCAATTCCTACTGAAGTGCTCTTTCCAGAGATGCCAAACATTGGACAAAAATTCGTCTGCAGCATTCGTAAGAGCTGCAAAAACCCGAATTTATTGGCCAACCTAATACCTGAGTATTTAGGGTACGGGTCAGGAGTCACGATTCTTCGCTAAGCGACGCAGCAACGCGACGTCAAGCAGTAAAGACTTCATCTCGTCAGTATACCTGCCGCAATGTTACTTATGGCATCGAGTCATGTATCTGCCCCCCCCTACTGTGGCGCCGTGCTACTTTAGCACCGGAGTGTTTCATGAAGCACAAAACTTGGGCGGGCGAGGGGTCGCCGCGCGCGGTGTGACTCCTGACCCGGAGCCGAGTATTTAACGCACAAGGAAAACCCTTCCAGTCGAAATGGCTTCCCCACATGACACCTATATCACTAGAGGCTTCTTTGAACGCTGATTCAAAATTGCTTTTACTTTCTGCAGAACAACTCTTCAGAAGAAGTTATGCTGTAAGTGATACAAAATTAGCGAGAAGTTGTACAAACACCTGAAAGTAAATAATCAATTTCCTGCATAGGTGTTTTTGTACAGCTCTTCGCTAAGTTTATGCCACTTAAAACTTGACAAATTTGGATTCAAACACTCTTAACTATTTTAAGAGAGTTATTTTGTAGAAAAAAAGACGGTTTTGAATCACCGTTCAGTGGTCTACAAAGTGATGTAGATGCCATGTGAGAAGTTCATTTTGACCACTTTCAGGGATGCTACACATGTAAACCATCTTGTTTAGAGGCATCCTTTAGAATCGAAGCGTCTGATAGATTTTCCTTTCAAAAAAAGTTGCATTTATGCTTCGAGTGTCCCATTACTTTCCGATCTTTCTAATGAATTGTCTATATCATACGCTTATTGTGTAAAGTGTTTTAGTAAGATTTTCACACTCATTCATTTTCATCGGTTCTGTACAAAGACATACTTGAAAAGGAAACTCACTTTGCAATTGATGTGAAAATATAGCGTTTTGCTTTGTTTTGTCACAATAACTGAAACAACGATAGACAGAAATCCAGCCACTGCTTGTGAGCTCACAGCTGCTAGGAACCCTTGATTGTTGATGAGCTCCTTTGCTTCGGAGCAAGACATATTCTGTGCGTCAGCGTTTCAACACTTTTTAGTAGCAAGTAACAAAGGAAGGGATTGGTCTAACACGATCAGCCTCCTTATCTGAAAATAAAACCAGCAATGAGTTCCAGTGTATACGGAATGATAATCGCCAGAATATTTTTAACATATGGCGCCAGAATATCTTTAACATGAAAGAGAGTTTGCGTTGAGAACAGTAGGCAGCAAAAGGCAGCAGAAAAGTTAACCATTATTGAAATGAATAAAGGAGTATTTCATACTATATTTTTGTAGCACTGAGTCTAGACAGTATAAACGGGCTCGATATTATTTCGCAGGAAGTTGGCACTTACGCGCTTCCTGTATTTGTTTTTGTTATGGCCATGCATGAGTTGAATTTCCGGATTTATTTTGCAGTTACCATCTGAACTGGATGATTCAATCGGTTGGTCTATTAGTGACTCTGAGATACTCGCCTGAAAGTCATTTTTAGAAGTTTAAACATGTGAGAGAAGTAAATAGCAAAAGACAGTTGCTTAAGTTAACTATTGTGGGAAAAATGAGTAATTTGAAAAAGACTTATACTTGAAAAATCACTGGCTTTCTTCATTTTGTAGCAGTTGCGGGCGCGGAAAAGAATTATTTTGCAAGAAGCTGGCACTTACGTTACTTCCTGTAATTTGTTCTTGTAATGGCGACGTCAAAAGTTTGAATTTGCATTTTTGCAGTTACTATCTGAATTGAATGGTGGTTATGTTTGTTTCTGTGAAAACTCGCCAAGGAGCAGGCTTTGTTAGCGTGTGTGTTTTTCTTTCTGTGTAGTGCTTTTCTGAGTGATCTCGTGCTTTCGAACACATGAAAATGGTGAGAAAACAGGCTCGCGTAGCTTCTCTTACTTTGAGAGCTAAAATTTTGCGAGGAAATGTGGAACTTAGACAGCAGATATCATGTATTAGGTTGATGCAAAAGTAATGGCCAATTTGCGAATTCTCACTTTGACGTGCTATAACTTTCTAAAGTACCCACATTTCTGAATGCGGTAAAGACCATCAGAAGCAGCAAACCTTTCGCAATACAGCGTTACCGGGAAGAGAAGTACGGACTAAAAGACAAAAAAGTTCTTCTGCTAGAATCTTGTTTTTGACAATTCATAACTTCCTTCAAACTTCCTTGGTATGAATGATAAGTAACCTATCTTGTAGCCGCAGGCCAGTAGTACAAAATACTATAAAAAGAATTCGGACAAAAAATTTTGCGAGAAAGAAAAAAATTGAAGTCTAAAATCTCTCAGTTTTTTCGACAATTTTTCAGTGTGCCTCAAAGTCCAGAATATAGAATTTTTTGGTTTTCTACGTACTGAACAGCTGGATGTTTTTGCAAAAACTGGTAATAATGTCCTAGCCCTACGCTTACAGAATTGAGCAAAGCTTCGGCGACTTCCTCAGAAGAAAATTATGGTTTATAAAATGACCGCAACAGTTACCCATGTTTAGGCGCCGATATCTCAGTCTGGATAACTTTAAAGAAGGTAATCAGTATGCATAATGTAGACAATTTCTATTACATACAACAGCTAAATTTTCGAAGAAATCCCATTGATACGCGCTTGAATTCTGGCCGGAAAAGTGAATGCAATGAAATTCTTAATTTGGATCGGTTATTTGAAGCTCAGTAACTTTATAAGAGATAAGGAAGAGAGCCCATTTCAAGCACCGTTAGATAGAGCATGAAAACAGCTTTGCGATGGTATACTACATCTATTGTAAAGAAAAAGTATTAATGGAAAAAGTTGCCCTGGAAAAAGGCTTGGAAAATCGGCCATTACTTTCGCATCATCCTAATATATTTGATGTTTTAAATAGTAAATTAAATGTTTTTCCAACACCCTTATGAGTACGGAAGTTCTAAGCAAAGTGCATCTCACTTACCAAATGTATCTGAGTGGTCTTTGCAAGGCACACTTCACCAAAATGGGCCTTGTAAAAATATTTGTAATTAAACCTAGGCTCATGAATGTATCTGCCGCATTCACTTTAGCGACCCATAGGAACGCTGCAAGAAACTCTTGCTGAAGCCAAATTTGAATATTGTATCCGAAGGTCCCTGGCATGTAGGTTAAAGAGTCATTACCATGTGCATGCTTTTTGAGTGCAGTGCACATTTCGATGTGTCATGGATAAGTGCATGATTAAGAATGTGGGCGAAATCAGAAGAGCTGCTATAGCCGGTCTCATGGATTTTTTTCCGATTCTATGCAAAGGTACATATATATGATTGTGCTAGTCACTGTAAGCATCCAATTGCCTTTTCGACTGCGAAGTAGAGTAGGTTTGGTGCATGCTCGTAAATGGCATAATAGATGCCAAATCGTTTATATCGTTTTTCAACGAGTGCATGTGGGGAGAATAGAAAATGGTAGGTCAATTGCGGAGCTGTCCACGGGTCACCTGATTCGCAACCCTTCAATTATATTTCTCCTTGAAACGCATTTTGAAGCCGTCTCGCGCAGCTGGCATCCAACCACCGACCCGCGCACTTATCATGTATTGAAATAAAGTTGCAAGGATAGGCTGTAGCTTGCAGACCGTAGCTTGGTTACTTATAGGATGTTGTCGTTGGCAACATACTTGTTGGCAAGTAATGTAGCACTGAAAAACAAACATCAATCTTACACCTGTAGCAGATTCTCTTTTCCTGCTTATCTTTTCATATCTCATATTTTAAGGGTAAATATCTCAACGGTAATTTCGTTTTCGATCCATTCTGTTTGAAATTTTGCATATATATGTTTTGGGAATAGCCTTGTCCATATTGGCTTCACAGCATCCGCGATTTCTAAGAAACCACTGGCATCGCATCGCTACCTATTCTTTGAATTCGAAGAATTGAAAGCAGAAGCATTCGTCATCTGTTGCGTTCGAGACGGCGCACGTTTGCAAGAGGTTCTACATCCCCATTTCTTATAAACTCTATTTTCACTCTTGTGAAAAAGCCGCCTTTGCTCAGGAGTGCATTAAACTGCGTCAGATTGAAAGGTCCATTTTTATAAAGTCCTATGCAGGCAAACTAGCTCAAGACCTAGCAAGAGGACGATTCCACATCCGTGTGTACATTCGGAAATATTCATCATTCTGATGTTTCGTTCTTTGCTTTATCCGCTGTATCGCAGCCATTTTCATTTTCAGCATTCGTTCAATGATAAACCATAAAATCAATGGGGAGATCAGTGTGTAGTAAGGTATGACCTGTAACTTGGATAGTATGGATGTGCTTATGAACACATAGAGATGCTACCTACATAAGCTGTAGTCAGGAGGCTTCGAAACAATCCAGCAGATAATCTATCATGAGATGCAGTAATAATTCCATTTGCTAGCGAGAAAAATAAGTAGCAAAGCGTTTGAAAAATTGACAGGGGCAGCGTAACTTGCAGGACCTTAGCATTTTCTCGTAGTTGATAAGAAGTATGTAAATCGAATTTTTTCCTGAAACGTAACACATAACATTTCGAATGTATCGAATCCCACACTTGCATAATAAAATTCCAACATTGTCGCACATATGATTGTCGGGCTAGATAGATGTTCGAACATATTGAAACCTTTAACATTATGAAGCCACTAAAGCAGAGATATCATTTTTGTGCCTGTTCTAGTAGATTATCATGAAACTGAGCCGCTACAGTTTTTTTATTTAGTGGAATGGCATACACAAAGATGGTGCTTTCACACTTCAAGCCCATCTGCTTGAAAATTCTCACCAATATTGAAAGCCGCAACGGGGTACGCCGCTTCCTCGTCGCAGGTGCTTTAATACATATTGGTTCAAATATCGTTTTGGGGGCAGGAGCTATATGTCTCCGATAGGCGCCACCCCGCGCGGACAGCCGTACAAATCCGTTATTCTGTGTGGAGCTGCGTGCTTTTTGCAATGTGCGTGCGTGGCTACCCACTTTCGACGATATATAGTCCTTCACCGCGTTTTGGGTGCAAAAGAGGACCCATCAGTCACCAGGGTCAATTCTCGAACCGACAACCTGTTAGTAAGTTAGTAAGCGATTACCTATTAATAAGCGCAAATACGGTGCTACGGTGTCGTTTTACTGGTTTAGGCTTTGTGGCATCCTGTATGAGCAATGGCCGCAATCTCACCGACTTTCACGATCGCACACAGCCCTATAAAACTTACCGTTTTGTCCAGTGTCTACACATTCATTACCGCCTCCTACTCCCAAAACTTCGTTCTGAAATCTGCATGCTCACCTATCCCAGCACTAACTCTAGGATGGCGAGCAAGAGGAACATAAGTGGCGAGCGCCAATAACCAGCGCATTTCTTACCTTCTTTTCTAAATCCATACCCGAAATTAGGCTGAAGAGCTGAACTAATTTTTTATGTTGAAAATGAAATGAAAGAATATGTTAAAATCAATGGAAAGTGTTCAAAGGTAAAATTTGGGTATCTCAAATTTTTCATAGCATTATCGAATTGCACATCACATTTCAATGGGCTCCGCAAAACTTTTTCAGTACTAGTTAACATACCGGCTCCGCCCGCCCTTTCAGTACAAACGTTACTATATTCGCAATCAGCACTCACTTGTCCCCCCCCCCCCCGCTGTGCCAACTACCAGCCCCGTATCTTGAAATTTGCAAAAAATCGATAAACTCGATATCGATCAATAGCGAAAACTACTACGGCACGCTGTCCGCTAATATAAGTGAGCAAAGTTTGGTCCTGATTGTCTTACTTACTTAGATACTTAGATGGCCCGGCTTCACGTGACGTGCGGGCCCCAGCACAAGATCCACGATCTTCTTGGTTGACGTCGATAGCTGCGTACACGACTTCCAGGTGCGAAAATCGTATCCAGCTGATTTCTCAGCTGGTCCATCCGTTCCACGAACACGTCTGCCCATCTCGTTGGAGGTCTTCCTCGAGGACGTTTGGCTTCGCGAGGAATCCACTCCGATGTTCTTAGTGTCCATCTGTCGTCTGTTCTTCTCATTATGTGACCGGCCC